CCTTTACATCTGTTGGGAGGGCATTCCACAAGGCTGGCATGACTACTGAGAAGGCTTTCTGTCTGGTTCACTGTAACCTCACTTCTCACAATGAGGAAACTGCCAGAAGGCCCTTGGAGCTGGATCTCAGTGTCCTGGCTGAACAATGGAGGTGGAGATGCTCCTTCAGGTATACTGGGCTGAAGCCGTTTAGGGCTTTAAAAATCAGCACCAACACTTTTAATTATGCTCAGAAACGTACTGGGACCGGTGTTATATGGCCTTGCCTGCCACTCCCAGTCACCAGTCTAGCTGCCGCATTCTGGATTAGGTGTAGTTTCTGAGCCACCTTCAAAGGAAGGCCCGCGTAGAGTGCATTGCAGTAGTCCAAGCAGGAGATAACCAGAGCATGTACCACCCTGGTGAGATAATGCGCAGGCAGGTAGGGTCTCAGCTGGCATACCAGCCCAGTAACTGATTTAACATCAACTCCCCTGGCGATTGAGCCCAGGTGGGCTCTCAGTCAATCAACAAGGGGCAGGGCAGGCTTCTCTCTGCTGGTCACAGATGGAAAAATGACAGCTTCCTCAGGAGCAAGAGGTGAGGCAGCTGTGGAACAAGGCCAGTTGATGTCAAGTATGTGGTAGGTGGGTGTGGCTTGGAGAAAACATATTTTTGGGTCAAATTAGAACCTCATTCCAGTTCTCATTATGCCTACAAGTTTGTGGTTCGCCAGCACCAGATCAAAAATTCTGGTCCTTTTTCGCTTATGGGTTGGCAGTCTTTTGAGTCAAGAAGATGCCTTGTAGTTTCACACAGTCTTCCTTGATGCAGTTCTGCTGGAAGCACTTGGCATTCACCACCTTCTCCATGGTTTCTAGCATTATCCTGAGCTTACTGCCATACAGCTGCATTCAAACTGTATAGCATTTATACCTAAAGCCACCACTTGGACATTTTGATGTGACACTTATTTCCAGTAGGCTTCAAGAGCTCTTCAATTTCATTGTAAGGAAGGGTTTATCACTTCTTTGACATGGTAGAGGACTCCAAAATTGAGGGGTTGTGCTTGAGTAAATAAATCCATTTCCAAAAGCAAAGTTCAATAAAAAAGGTAAATAAATAGGAAAGGCTCCCCACAACTGCTCTTGTTCTTCCTAGCCTGCCCTGTGGTGAGAGGAGTTATATTAAATGTCCTCAAGACCTCAGATTAGCCTCCTTGCAGCCAGGAGTTTATTTGCAGCTTTGGGTGTGTTGTGTGGAATAGTGGGTAAAGAGTACATCTCTTTGGCAAAAGGGTCATTACAGTTGCTGGAGGAGCTATGTAATTTTCAGCTGCTACTCTATGCCTGGTGTTTTGGGCTGGCCCAGAGTGAACTTATGAGCCTATGACACTAGGCTGTTCTCTTCTTTAATTGTTTAAGGTTAGTAATATCAATATCAGACCATTTGATTACTATGTATTAGTATGTATTTTATTAAGGAGTGTTGTTATTGCTTGTTTACTTGGAAATACTTACACTGTGTGCTGGCTCAATGAGATGCAAAAGGGGACTGTAAAAGGACTTTGGGCTTGGAGTAAGAAGAGAGAATTTGCAGTTTTCTTTTCTCTCTCAACATCTTGACCTTGTAGTCCCTTTCAGCTCTATGATTCTATGATTATTATTCTATGACATGAATACCCCTTAAGTCATTTTCATGCAAAAGCTGGAAATCAGCGCTTTGTTGGATGTCATAGTGGTGAAGGAGTTGGAACTTCCCTCATGAACTAGAGATTGGGAATTTGATTCTGCGCAGTGAAATAGTTGTAAGACTGGATGTTGACAACTCGCAAGACAGGATCCACTCTACATTTCCGTTAGCTGCTTTAGAACAGTAAGACTGGAGGACTTAATATGCCGTCTTCAGGGAATTGCTGTAGCTCAGTGGCGATAATCTTTTTACATATGGAAGGTCCCAAGTTCAATCCCTGACATCCCCAGGTAGAGTAGGAGAGAGCCATTGCCAGTCAGTGCTGAGCTAGATGCACCAATGGTTTGACATAAGGCAACTTCTTATGTTCTGTATTCAAGACCAGACCATTTGCCCATCTTGCCCTGTACTGTCTGCCTTGAATTTCCAAGGTGTTGGACAGAAAATAGTCTTTAATATCTCTTGTCACCTGTTTCTAAGATAGGGACTGAATCCAGGACCTTCTGCATGCAAAGATGTTCTACCACTGAGTTGTGGTCCCTCCTTGGGATGAGGTCCTGAGCCAGTACAACATGCCAGGTGAGTATGAAGGGGGTGGTGGTTGCTGCCTGGGGCAAGAGGGGTGAGGCCTGTGTAGCACAACAAACATAGGAAGGGTTTTGAAACAGGAGTTGGTGAGCTCTTAATCATATTGCTGGTAGTTTGTTGTCTTTGCAACAAATATACCTGCTATTAGAGGCTTAGTCTGGAGCTCCAATTGGGCAGCTGAGGCAAAGCATTGGGTTCCTGCCTGCTTTTTCTTCAAACAATATCTTCTGGCTTCCAGATTTCTGATAAATTGATAAGAGGAATTGCGGGAGTCAATAGAGTTGTAGACACTTTGCCAATATAACCGTAGTGCTATTGATCTGCCAGTAAATTAAAGTCTTACTTAGAGGCTGCCGATATTTCTAATCTCCTGCCTCGCCAATTACAACCTTCCAGCTACCTGAGAGAGACAGAGCAGGCAGGCAGGCCCAGCTGTTGGGTCCTGTTTAGTCTGGGGAGCTGCCAGGATACAAGAAAATTCATTGGAGTATGAGAGGCTGTGGCTGTCTTACCATGCTACACTCCCCCCTCAAATCATTTTAGTCAAGGAGAGACCTTTCCCATGTCCTCAAAAGGTCAAGGAGTGAGGTGACAAAAGGTCTTTTAAGTACACAACAATTTTGTTTATTTTTGCCAGTAGTTGGAATGCTGTGTTTGGTGAATCCTTGGTAATTCGTGTAAAAGGTGTTTATGGGAACAAGCACTGCTGTAGTTTTGGTGGCAGATAGCATTGTTATGACTCACCAGAAAGAGGATTCTGTGGCCACAGATGTTCAAGAGTCATTGCTGGTCAAGGAGTAGCATCAGTCACCACTTTGGGTAGTCAGTCGCCTTTTCTTCCTGTTTGCTTCACACACAGGGGAAATCCCAAACTTGCTCTTCTGGGTGTATGTCATTTGAGGGGAGAAAATCTACCGTTCGTTTTCCTGACAAAACATTTCTATTCCTAGATAATATAGAATGTGTTAAGCAACAGAATGCTTTAGAGATCTTAAATATAGCCAGTCTCCATTCTTTTGCTGGGCAGCAGCATGTGTGGGGTTTAGCAGAGTGTTATGATGTGCAGAGGCAAAGGGCCGTGTTGGGAGCACAGGGGGGCTGCCCCCTTTCTGTAGTTCTAGCCTACCCTCCTCCCCCTCCCCCCACCCTGTTCCTGCTTGTTTGAAGCTGGACAAGCAGCTGAGTTACTTTCAGAGGTCCAAGAAAGAACAATGGGATCGTGGAGCTCCCTGCTGGGGGTCCTGTTTTGAGTGATGATGGTCTGAGCAGATTGTTCACCTGATAAGCTCCTTTCAAGTCTCTTTATGTTTGAAAGTCCACAGTCGGCTTTGGGAAGAAATCTCCAGATAAATGCTGTGTTCTTTCTAATACCCCAGAGCAAAAATCAATTGGAGGGATAATTCCTCCCCTTGTCCTACACAGACTTTCATGTGTATATATCTCCAGCAGCACCTTCACATATGGAAAAGACTTCTCATATTGCCCTTGGATAAAAGCTTCTGCACTGATTGTGCAATGTGTGCCCTCTGGAGGATAGGTGTATTTTCCCAGGCAGAGTTTGGCTCCTGTGTTTTCCTGTTGAATTTGGGTACAAGCAGGGAGAGGAAGCTGAGAGCTACCCAACTGAGCCAGCTATAGGTTGTTTTAGCAGCAGATAGAACTAAATGATAAATCCCCTCAACCTCACACTGAAAGGAGGTGGTATAAATAAAAAACCTGCTCCTTTCCCCTTATGGAATACCCAAGAGCCCATATAGAGTCCTTTTGTAGGTTTTGTATCAGTAGGAGAAAATAACAGAGACAAACCAGAGAATATTGAGAAGCAAAGCAGCTAGTAAGCCTGATCTTTATTAACTGCTGCAACAGGGTGCTCCCCCACATGCAGGAGAGAGGAGGAGGACCCCCGAGCCATGCGCGCAAGCCCTTATATAGACATTTTAAATTGCCCGCCCTGGAGTCCAAGACCACCCCCAGAAACATACATCCTATTCACACCTTAAATGTGCCCTTAAGGCAGGATTTGTGAGGACACAGACAATGGGGAGATTTCTGCATTTCCTTCCACCTTGTAGAGCATGGGTAGGCAAACTAAGGCCTGGGGGCCAGATCCGACCCAATCACCTTCTAAATCCGGTCCATGGACAGTCTGGGAATCAGCGTGTTTTTACATGAGTAGAATGTGTGCTTTTATTTAAAATGCATCTCTGGGTTATTTGTGGGGCATAGGAATTTGTTCTTTTTTTTCTTTCCAAAATATAGTCCAGCCCCTCCACAAGGTCTGAGGGACAGTGGACTGGCCCCCTGCTGAAAAAGTTTGCTGACCCTTGTTGTAGAGAAATATTTGAGGTGACTGAAAAAGTCAAAATGGCTTTAGGACTTTTACTGTGGGTTTTAGACATGTGGTTTATATATTTATATATGTGTTTGCTTGGTACATTTATGAACATTTATTATATATATAAGACCTAAAAATTCTTATAACAGGAAAGATACTAATATCTGCAACTTGGAAGAGTAAGTCTTGGGGACTGTCTGAAGAGTGGGTGGCCTGCATTATACATTGGCTGTTTCTGTGGTTTATGTGAGTTGCTTTGAACACCTCTGTTTGTGGGAAAATTTGAAAATTCAGATATTCACCCATACTACATGCACAATAGAAAGGTGATGTGAGCATTGGATTGTGTGAAATTAGAGTATGTTAATCCTATTGTTCTGAACAATGACCCAGTGCCCATCCTGGAGTTCAGACCACCTTTCTCACTCTTAACTAATTCAGTGATCTCCAGGTTAACTGGAACTGCTTACTTCTGATCAACTATATTAAGCTAAACAGACACACCGTGGCAAGATGCCTTTTTTTCTGTAAGTAAATCCCAATTATACCCACCAGAGCAAAGATGTTCAGACAGTGTCCTAACAGCTACCATTTCCCCCAAGGCATGCTGGATAAAGATCCCTCTAGTTGAGGAAGCATTTTGGGCATTGGTGGTTCACAACACTGGTGAAAATTCCGGCAGCATCACCACCCTTGTCACTTCTGCAGAATCCAATCACTTTTACATTTAACCCCCTGATAGCTCAGTTAAAGGATTGGAATCCAGGTGAAAGGGGTGTATGTATCCATTATTTCAATTAGCAGAGCATGATTTGTTTTATGTGATTCATGTATATATTTATTTTATTCATACCAATTGTGTGTCAGCCTAGAGGTGCTCAGCTTGGAGCATTTCACTGTAGCCAGTCTGTAAATGCTTACTTTTCTGGAGAGTTGGTGTTACAACTGGTGGGGTGTGTGTTTATGCCTGCTTCTTATTTTTATTTAGGAGCATAACTAGATAAACTTTTTTTTTCCAGCAAGGAGGATCTTTTTGCAGGAATTGGATGAAGTTGATAAACTACTCTCAGCCCTGGCCAAAGCCCATTACCCATGATACAAGGAACAAGTTGGAGAGCTCCAGGCAGCACTAAGTGTTTGTAGTTCTTATCTGTCCCTTAAATGGCTTTGCAGTATTTATCTAGTCTGCAGTGTCTGAGCAAACAGAATTCTGTGGGTGAAGGGGAGCTTTAGAACTTTTTGTTCCCAGGTTCTTCACAGTTAGGGTGTTCTTTCTCCCTACTGCACAGTATATTTGAGCCTAAACTCTTGCCACTTGCCATTGTATTCTCAGTTGCTGTGTTGGAGCCATTTTGCTGACTCATTGGTTTGGACTGAGATTTGTCTCGCTTTCATTACTCACCATGGCATCTGTGTTCAATCCCTGTGAAAGTCCTCCTGTCTTCTCTGCAGCCTCCTGAATCACTTCATTTTTGTGTAGCTTCCACTGTTCTTCAGACATCTTTGCCTGCTCAGTTAGCAGCATTAAAAATGGGGGGAAATGGAGTTGGGATAGCATTTGGAGGAGCAGCCTTAACTGTTTCTGGCTGAGTATGCTGACTTTGAAATTAGCCTTGATTTGTGATTGAGCTCAACCTGAATACATTGCTACGACTCAGTGCAGGACAGGATGGCGGCCTTGACAGCAGGGAGGGGAAAGTGAGTGCACAAGCAAGCAGTCTCCCCTTCCGTTGGCATAACCTGTGAAATATTGCCTCTTGTGGCTGTATCTTGCACTCTTGCTGAGCATGATGCCCAGTAGTGTATTAAACACTAGTTGAGTCCAGGAGGGCAGCTGATCACCCACGAGAGATAAGCCAAGTTCTCTGATGGCGGATCAATAAAGGTTAGTGACATCATATCTCAAAGTGAGAGAACCTGCTTTCCACAGAGCCGTTTATCAGATGACAGCCTGAAACACTGTTAACATTTTCCTTGCCAGGGACCTGCTTCCCACTAGAACTGGCCTCTATGATTACTCTGGGCCTTGTCGCTTTACACCTTTGCCTCAACTATCCTCATGTCTGTCCTCTTGTGGGTCTGTCATGAGAGGAAAGTATGCATGTTGTGTTTACCTGCTGTGTTCCTGCATAGACTGAGGTGTCCATTGGGCTTTGCTAAGGATTTGTTTCAATAGGTTTGGAAAAGAGCATTTTAGCAAAAAGCAGACAGAATTCCTATTGAGGCATTCTCATCATTCCACTGGCAGCACAGTGAAAGAGACTGAGAGCAGGCTGAGTAGGTCACAGTGACCAAAGTTCCCTCGAGTCAGCCATTCAGATTGGAAGTGCCCACATCGCCAGATATCTTCATGTTGATTGGCTTGTGAGCTGGACACGGGATTTTGCAGGACAAGACAGGCCTCTATCATAGGAGGGGTTAACTCACAGGAAGGGAGTAACAGCTGGACTTCTGCTCCCTCCCCTCCTTCTCCCAAGGCCATTTTCAGAGGGCAGTGCCAGTTCAGGGGGGTGGTGGGATGATGTCTGTGATCCCAGTCCCAGCTAATGGGCTGGTGTCCAAATGGAAAGTGTATTTTCAGGGTAGAAGTGCTGAGCCGTTAGTGAGGCCTGGATTACTGGGTGATTGTGCTGTCAATACTGCCGTATTGAGTCTGAGCAAGCCTTCACAACACAAGGAAACACTTAGCTCACTGCTCCTGCTTATTGAGAAGCCAATAGTAATTTACTGGCTGACACTTGACATCAGATCCATTCCCTGAGGTACAGTTCCTGCAAAACTATCGTCGTGTCCTCTCTCAACTTACCATTCCTGTTGCCCTCTTACCTGACATGTTGGGGGAGGGGTGCAGGTGTTTGCCTTTTGTGTGTGTGCCTCTGCTAGACTTCATGGCTTCTGTGGGGCAGCCACTCATTCCCATAGCATGCAGCGCACATGCTTCCACAGTTCAATAAGGGCTGCTTCCTGGGATAAGGTGAAACTTGTGTGTGTGTATGAAAAGACTTTTGCTCTGTATATTTTGGCAGTGAGGACAGGTGAAGGGCTCCTAATGTGCTACAGAAGGAGCAATACTAGCCTGAGTTTCTAAGCTGCTTGTGCCCAGGACAGGCTTCTTGGAGGTTCTCCTCCTTTTCTTCTGCTCCCAGTTTTGCCTGTACTTAATGTTCATAGAAATAAATTGTTCAAATTTTCAGTGCGGTAGGGTATAATTAAAGTAGCTCTTTATATAGAAAATCTGCAGCAAAATGCCCTAACTTCTAACAGAAGTGTTGTTGTTCAGGGAATGAGCCACACCCTCCCCCAGGATACAGTGGTACTTTGGTTGTCGAACTTAATCCGTTCCGGGAGTCCATTTGACTCCTGGAACGGTTTGAAAAGCAAGGTGTGGCTTCCGATTGGCTGCAGGAGCTTCCTGCTCTCAATCAGAAGCTGCATCACACATTCAGCTGATGCAAACCATAACACTCACTTCTGGGTTTGCGGCATTCGGGAGCCAAAACGTCTGAGTACCAAGGTGTTAGACAGCTAAGGTACGACTGAATTCCATTTGACACCCCACCACCACAATTTCTTGCTTTCTTTTCTAACTGACATCTCAACATATTATGGCATGTATAGCCCTCATTTGTCTGGTTTTTTTTTGGGGGGGAGAGGGGGAGGGTTCTACAAATCTTGAGGTTCCCCTGAGTATGCTGACATAGCTACAGTGAAACAATAGGGTGAAACAGCTTCACTTCTGTTGACACTCATCACCTGAGTTTACTATTAGAGAGTGATAGGATTCTGACATTTATGGGCATAATGACCACACAAAACATGTTTCAGTCACATTTCAAATGAAAGGACTAGGAGGTTAATCCTCATGTGTAGAGAGCTAGCTCATCACTTATAGCATGCAGCGGTGATGGATAGATCATGGCACAATGGTTTGATTCCAGGGAATGCATCTTCAAATGATTGTACAACATAAACAAGTTGAAAACTTAACCTTTCCTAGTTTTCCAGTTGCTTATGACTTTGGTGTAGGTGCTTTGGTTGCCGTACATCCCTCTTCTCCATATTCGGAGGGCTGGACCCAGAAACACTAGGAGGAGCTAGTGATGTCTCCATTTCTGGATTGCTGTCTTCCTGATGAACTCTGGGCATGATATAGATCTGCACCTCCTTTCTTTCTGTTGGCTGCTAGAAATCCTCTTTTCAATTTGTGGTTAGCATGAATGAGAGCATACTGGGTGGTTGGGGGTGGAGCTAAGATAGTCAAGAACAATGTGAGAAGTGATACTTTGGTCTGTCTTAGTGGCTCAGCTTGCTTGTGGAAAGCTTTGAATCTGGTTACTAGTTCCCAGTTGTTTGTGCAAAGTTCAAAATGAAACTCAGTCAGAAAACTTAATCAATTAAAGTTTATGTGTCTCCTGAGCCCCAAAATAAACTTTGGAATACCTCATATCATATAACTCCTTGACTGGGGGACAGTCTCCTACAAGATACACAAAGCTTTTCTCTAATCAAGGTTGTCATGTTTGTGCAACACACATGAATGTGTGGTGACCTCAGATATCAGCAACAAGTAATGATCAAGGAGTGTGCACTCCACAATAGGTTTCAGGCCACAAAAATCTTGCACCCCATATCCAGGAGAATGTCCTTTGATATGGCATTTAGTCATATATTAAATGTCAATCATAGTCAAAATATGAAAAAATGAATAAAGAACTTGGGGTGTATACCTCAAAACTCTAATGAATAAATGATGACCTCAGATTAACATGGGTGTATATGTGTCATATTTGACACTGGCTTGTCCTGAAATAAAGCAGTGGATCAGATTTTATTCAGTGTCGTCTTACATGGGATACTGTTCTAGAAATAAGGATGTATCAACATTTACTGTGGATGCACATCACAGCCACACTGGTTTCTTTAGATGCCTCCCACATTTTTTACTTGTTGGAATCATCTGCATTTGTGCCTTCAATAGTTCACCTTTAAGAAGTTCCCATCCATCTTGAATTCTCTTCTCTCTGAGAATTTCTGACCATGGAATCTCACTTAAGCTTTAGAAATCCACCTTCTTAAAAGTCCAGAGTAAATATCCAGCTACACTCAGCTTTCCCTTGCTTCTGTATCATGAAACCCAGGAGGACATGATCACTTCCTCCTAAGTTTCCCAGTACTTCCACTTCATTGATCAGTTCCTCTCTGTTGGTGAGGACCAAGTCCAAGATACATGATCCCCTTGTTTCTTCCACCTTCTGGGAAATGAAATTGTCAGCAAGGCAGTGGAGAAATTTTTTAGACCTTGCATTCTTGACAAGGTTTTGCGTTCCAACAGATATCAGGGAAGTTGAAGTCTCCCATGACTACTATCTCTCTCACATTGGAATGTATGGTAATCTGCTGTAGGAAGGCATTATCTAAGACTTCAGTGTGGCTTGGAGATCTATAGCAGACACTCAAACTAAGGTCACTGTTGTTTCCCTCTCTTTCAATTTTTACCCATATACTCTCAAACTGCTTTCCATGTTCCAGGTCATGGATCTCTACACAGGTGTGTATATCCTTTACATATAATGCTGCTACTTCTCCTTTCTTGTTTGGTCTATTCCTTTTGAATAAGTTTTGCCTCTCAATTTCTACATTCCAGTCATATGTCTCATCCCACCAGGTTTCAGTAATGCCTTTTAGGTTATATTTGCAATCCTGTATTGAGCTTGAATTTGTCTTGCTTGTTTCTTATACTCTGTGAATTAGTATAGACAACTGAAGCTATGAGTCATTCCCTCCAGCTGCTTCCTTCTTTTACTTTCCTCCCCTTTAGGAGGTTTCTGGAGCACCATCTCAGTTTTCTGTGTATCAATGAAGCTGTTATCCCCAGTTCCAGGTGTTCTCCTCTCATCTGTAATATTGTCTTCCTCCCACTCAGGATTTAGTTTAAAGCTCTCCTGATCAGGTTTGTGAGACTCTTAGCAAACGCACTATTGCCAACCACTGTGAGGTCCCACTCATCTTTTGCCCGAAGTCCTTCCTCAAGGAAGCAGAGACTGAATAAGGAACTGGTGGTATACACAGTACGATAAGCTTTGGTCCACCACAAATCATATACCCACATCACCAGTACAGTGTCTGCTATATTATATATTTATAAAAGTATTTATCTACTACTAAATCACAACACATCAAAGCAGTTTACAACATTAAGAAGATAATCATGCAATAAAAGCAATAAAAAAAAAGCAATTTCAAAGCAAAAACTAAAAACAAGCAGCAATAAACCATTGTGGGAGATGTGCTCTTAATTGCCTGGTGTAATAAAAAAGTTTTCAGCATGCGTTTAAAAGTTGGCACAGAAGGCACCCACTGAATCTTTATTGGCAGAATATTCCACTGGACTCGGCCAAGGACACTAAAGGCTCAGTTTCTTCTTGTTGTCAAACAAGCCTCACCAACTCGGGTACTGATCGATTATACTCCTGCAGGTGATCTCAGTGATAGAGCTGGGACATAAGGGTTCAGGTAATCCCTGAGGTACCCTAAACCTAAGCTGTTCAGGACTTTGTAAATTAATACAAGAACCTTGAACCTCACTCAGTACGAGATGGGCAGCCACTGCAGCTGTTTTAACAATGATTCCACATGTTCTCTCTGCTTTTTTTTTTAAAAATATATTTTTTTAAAAAATTTTCAAATTGTAACAACAAATTTCCCACAAATCTTAATTGAACAATTTATAAATCCATATTTCTCCCCTCCCCCCTCTTTGGCTTCCCCTGTATTTCCATGTTGATTTATTAAACAAATTCTATACCCTGCTGGTTTTACCTCTTACATAGTTGTGAAAGTTTAGTCAAAACCTGCCAATGAGTCCAAATCTTTATACTGTCTTTTTATATAGTTTATAAATGGTTCCCACTCCTTTTTGAAATCGATGTTGTCTCTCTCATGTATTCTCTCTGTCAGCTTAGCCAGTTCCGCATAGTCAATAAGCTTGGCTTGCCATTCTTCCTTTGTTGGCGTTTTCTGTTTTCCATACTTGTGCTAATAAAATTCTTGCTGCTGTTGTCGCATACATAAACAATCTCTAGTTTCCCTCTCTTATATCATGATCTAAAATTCCAAACAGGAAAAATTCTGGTTTTTTAACAAAGGTTTTTTTCAACATTTTTTTCAATTCATTATATATCATTTCCCAATATTCTTTAACCTTCTTGCATTCCCACCCTACATGAAAAAAGTACCATCTTTCTCTTTGCAACTCCAGCATATCTTACATCCTGTTTTGTACATTTTGTACATTTTGTGATGCAACCAACTTTGTAAAGTATCTCTCAAGTTTTCATAACTTTATAATTTCAAACCTTTCTCTTCTTCTATTAACAAATCTTTATATGTCGGCCAGTTTCCTTTTTTATTAAACGGTTTCATTGCTATTGCCTCAACTGGAGACAACCACCATGGCATTTTAGGTTCTAAGAAATCTTTGTATTTATTCCATACTTTTATCAATGCTTTCCTTATTATATGATTATGAAACCCTTTATGTTTTTTATCTTATAGCATAAATACGCATGCCAGCCAAATTTGTTATCATGTCCTTCTAAATCAAGGATTTCTTCTCTTTCTAATTTTATCCAATCCTTCAATCAAACAATGCATGCCACCTCATAATACAATGTAAAGTCTGGGAGTGAGAGGCCGCCTCTATCTTTCGAGTTAATCATTATTTTATGTTTTATCCTAGGCCTGTTACCACTCCAGACAAATTTTGATAGATCTTTTTGTAACTTCTTGAGGCATATAATATTACCTATTATCGGAATTGATTGAAATAAATACAACAACTTTGGCAAGACGATTCCACATGTTCTCAGCCAGAAGCTCCCTTCAGCAGTCTGGCACCACAGCATTATGTATCAGCTGGAGCTTCTGAACCAGACCCAAGGGCAGGCAACCTCATATAGAGCGCATTACAGCAATGCAGCCTTGAGGTTACCAACACATGGATGACAGTGATCAGGCTATCCCTGTCCAGGAATGGCCATAGTTGGCGAACCAGAGCTTTATGAGGGCATGGAATAGTGTCTTTCAAAAAAGAAAAAAAGTAGCTACTGAACTGAAAAGGTGAAATTCTTCTTCCTAGGTTTCCACCCACCTGCACATTAAAACTAGCATGCATTTGAAAATCAAGAGCAATCATTTTGAATTCAACTAGGAGTTTTTATGGACTGGTGATTATGGCTGGTGACTATATCTACCTGGAAAGGACAGGGTTTGATCAAAACTTTTCAGAAAGTGAAGATTTATTGAAAATTTATTTTGGGATATTTTGAATGGTCATAGCATGAGTATGTATCCTTCACAGTTTGTTCAGTTCAAAGAGAATTGTGTCCAATGAAGTTCTGTTTGGAGTAGGGCCATTGAAATTAATGGACCTATGTTAGTCAGATCCATTAATTTAATGGCTCTGCTCTGAGTAGAACAACCCTGGATACAACCCAAAGAAAGAGTTTGCACTTTCATTTCACCGATAACTGACTTTCCTGTATGTAGTCTATGTCTATATTAAAGTAACATGTCAGGGAGAAGAGAGCAGCCTTATTGTTCCTTTTCTCTTGCCTGCATATTCTGGCTACGGTTGGCATGTATACACACCCTTGGCAGTGTTTTTCCCCCAAAGGACACATTTGGCTGCGTGGATATATTATTTGTATGGGCCCAACATTTGTTTGCTGGGTTCAAATCTCACTCTTTTATTTTTGCTATTATCAGTTTGGGTTACAAGCTACTTACAGTGTCTTATACTGTAGGAAAGCATTGGGACAGATACAATGCCATGCCACCTCATAGGCAACATATTGCTGGATGCATGGATGCATGATTTATGGTGACCCAAAACTTACTTTGAGGTGAACACCCCCAGTTCTTTCTTCATTTCCTCCTTGACAATGGTTGGTGTGTGGCTGCCGTATTTGATGCTGGTTTACACCTAAGGCCAGAAATGTAAATGTGTGATTTGGCACCATCAAAGTTTACTGTGGGGTGTGCACCCAGAATTTATTATTTATTTATTGTCATCTGAGATCATCACAAATCACGAGCACTGCACATGCACAACAATTTTGAATGGAGAAAATTATTGTGCATCTCAAAAGTGGCAGTCCCCCAGTTTTGTGCAAATAAAGAACTGGAACCTGAGAACTAGCAACCCACTTCATTGTAAGGGAGGCAGGTATCTGGAGACTGTAACCCTTGAAAAGGCCTCTTCCTGTGATCCTTGCAAACCAGCAAAGAGTACTTTTCTATCAAAGAACAATAGCAGGCTTCCTGGCTTAACCTTGCCTGTAGGAGTCCACCTCTTGAAAGCAGCCGGGGGTTGAACACCACGCTGGATTTGAAGCCAGAAAGTCAATGGTCAGCATTTGAGCACTCATGGGCTGAGACATGTAGTACCTGTAACAAGTGGCAACTGTGGCATCTTAAACTGGATTGAGGAGGCTGTGAGTCCTGACTGTGGCCTAGGGTATGTTGCCATTGAAACCTTCAGGCAGAAAGGGAAAGCACTAGAGCAGCAGGCAGCAACTGTTACTTTCTTCTGCCTGTGATATGTGAGATTCTGTAGTCCTGGTCTCCATTTGAAATTAAATACCTGAACTAGATAAAAACCTTTCTGGATCAGACCAGACCTGTAGTCTATGTTCCACTCCATAAAGCTCACAAGAGAGGCAGTTTTCTGTTGGAACTGTCACGGGAGCCTTGGGAGTGCTGCAGCTGAAGGAAGAGTGAAGATTCCCTTCTTGGGAGGACTTCCTTTGGTTTGAATTAAAACAGCAGTCTGGTGCACCTTTGCGGTTGGGTGTTCTTCCTTCCCTGTATGTGTAGATGCAGGAGTATGAAGAGGGGAGGGACTCAGACACTCCATAGACATACATAAGCTCCCAGACAGAGACTAGCTTGGCCACATTTTAGAGTGAAACATTTCTCAAGAGCAGGGATGACTCATGCCAGCAAAGTTCATGCCCTCTGGAGAAGGAGGGTCAGTATCTGCTATACAGGAAAAGTGCTAATCTTGGGTATTAAATCAAACTCTATGGGACAGACAGCTGAAGCTCAGGCACAGATAGGTAAAGTGTGTAATAAGTCCTTTACATCAGAAAACTCCCAAGCGAGAAGCAGATGGGTCAGTTGACAGTTTGCATAGGTGGAGAAGGTAGTGAGCACTGAAGGAGCTCTTGGTGTTAATGTCACAAGGAGCTGCTTGGGGATCTGGCAATGGGAATACCTCTGCTCTTCCAGCCCTTTGCCCACCTGTCCCCTTTGGAGCTACTTTATAGAAGAGCACTCTTTGATCCCACATGTTGATAGTTGTGACCACTAGATGGCTGAAATGCTCCACTGAAGCACTCTGCTATGTGGTGATGTGGCATGTGAGGAGGCCATGGCTCAGCAAAGTACCTTAGTTGCAAGGCCATAGCCATCACCTGCCTGGGAGTTTCCTGTAATGATGGTGTTGTTGCTTTGAACTGGAAGGGATGGTCTCTCTCTCTTCTACTTGGACTAAGGGCCCCTGGAAGCGGCCTTATCTTGCTGTGTATGACTGGGTTGTTGTCGTTTAGTCGTGTCCGACTCTTCGTGACCCTATGGACCAGAGCATGCCAGGCACTTCTGTCTTCCACTGCCTCCTGCAGTTTGGTCAAACTCATGCTGGTAGCTTCGAGAACACTGTCCAACCATCTCGTCCTCTGTCGTCCCCTTCTCCTTGTGCCCTCCATCTTTCCCAACATCAGAGTCTTTTCCAGGGAGTCTTCTCTTCTCATGAGGTGGCCAAAGTATTGGAGCCTCAGCTTCAGGATCTGTCCTTCCAGTGAGCACTCGGGGCTGATTTCCTTCAGAATGGATAGGTTTGATCTTCTTGTGTATGACTAGGCACAGCCTAAGGCAGTGCTTCTCAAAGTTGGGTCTCCAGCTGTTGCAAGCAAGCAAGATCAGTGGTCAGGTATGATGGGAGTTATAGTCCAACAACAGCTGGAGACCCAAGTTTGAGAAACCCAGGCCTGAGGCTTTTCAGAAACAGCCCTTTAATCTGGAGTACCCTGCAGTGGCCTAGCCACCTCCTTACAGTGAGCACCTTTGTTGCAAGGTTTCTTCTCTTCAGGAGCAGCCTTGGTTCTGTCTCCAGTGGACTCCAGTGGACTGTTTCTATCTTCCATCATAGAGG